ATGTGTTAAGGTGGTATCATCTTATCAGAGAGATAATACAAAGAAATGATATAAAGAAAAAATGAGTTCTCATAATTGATTAAATTACAGATCCACAAATAAGGAATTGTTGCAGTATGAACATGCTTTCATGTAGGCTCTTATAATATTAGATATATAAGTTATTGGATATAGTGTAACTAAGAGTTTGTAAGTGTTATGCCTTAAGTTTAACCAACTTTACATGTAAATACTTTTAATATAAAATTGACTTAATTTTATGGTAGGTCTATTATTTAATTAATAGTTAATTAAATTAAATAATAGAGTCCGTAGATTTAAATTTTAGTAATTTGTTAATCACAAGAAGTTATAATTGTGAGATTTAAATCACCTATTACTGAATCTTAAATCATTCATTGTCGTAAATTATAACGAGATACGGATATTGTTATTATGGATAAACCATCACGTGTAGCTTTTTTACTTGTGAAATAAGTAGCCGATCTCACAAGTTAAGTGTAGTGATACTTAAATTAACATGTTGATTTTTGTTATAGAACAAAATGTGGGAGACTTAAAGAGGAGATTCCACATGGACAACTATTTAAGTGTTAGTAGTTAATCTCTAACGTTTGGCAGTGAAATTGGTCCTTTGACTTGAGATCATCATATTACTTTATATGAGGACAGTTATACTTTAGTGATGTTGGATGTTGCTCTGCCAAGGGTTGCTAATACGACATTGTTTGGATATGTCAGGAATCATATGAACGCTGTGAATGATCAATAGAGGATTTATCATTCTTAGATAGTATGATATTATGATTTATATTTTATTCAGTTAAATTGATAACAAAATTCTTGGCCAAGATGTGTTACACCCCCATTCATATAGATAACTATCCATTAACCTGTGTGGGAATGAAATTGATGACTCGACCTAGGCATAAAATTTCACACTTTTTTTTACCTGATAAAACAACATAACTATGTCTCTAACCCTATAGGTCGTCATCCATATACATCGAACTCTGGAATTCCGTAAGAGCTCCATAGCTAGCCGTGCTCTCTATGTAGTTCCAGGCTCACCTACAATGCAAGAACTACATAAGCCAATGCTTAGTAAGCAAAAATCATGTATGTCATGAATATGAATAATAATGATATATGACACTATGCCATTTACATTAAACATTACGATAAAGAAGCATCATATTCTAATATTCATCAAAGTTGACTCGAAATCATTTCATTTGAAACCTTTCATTTCATTGGACCCTTGACCCACCTACTATGCACCGGATAGAGCTCTACATAATATCAATATCAATAATCAAATGGCCAATATGAAATCGACATCGGCGAGTGAACCATCCTCTTGTGACTACTAGAGGCCTATTCCCTAACTATCCCTATGATCACCCAAGAAGTCTCCCACTCGATAGCGCCAATAATCATAATATCACAAGGGTACAGTCGAGTGGTCCACCCTCCCGTGATCACCAAAGGCTCATCCCCTATCTACTTTTGCAATCACCGAGGAAGTATCACCCGCGATGCCAAATATATCACATAAGCATACCTCACATGCCTCGGTGCTCTAGTAGTGGTCAATAAGAATATTTATAAAGAAAACTCACTTTGAAATCATGTTTCACATGCAGGATTTTCAACCATGATCACATGTCGTGCTTGCAGATGAAAATGCTCATGAATGATATATTTAATGAAAATTGATGTCAATAGGTTCTCCAACCTCTTACTCAACGATCATAACCATCATATGATGTGCAATAATCCTCTTATCAAAGTTATGTGACTATTTCAACATTACCATATGACAAATACTAGGCTCTTGCATCGTAGTTGCATATGGATTTTTACTTACCTTTCGCTTTTGTGTGTGCAAGCTCCTATAGAGTGTATATCAATTTCCTTTTTTGCTCAATGTCGAAAAATCACTTGTATTACCATCTAATATTAAAGTCAATCCTCCATTTAATAACCTTAACACACACAATCCCAAAATACGTCCATTCACGCTAAAACAATTTAGATGAAATCATTATTTCAAGTTACCAATGACATTATAAATTGATCCCATAAGTCTCGCTATTTCTCGAATCCAATTATGAACGTCAACATCATCCAATTGTTGTCGACAACCTAGTGCTCATTATAATCTATTTTCTAGGGCCAAAAGATAATTAATAGATATGTAAAGGTTGAAATCACATTAAAAACACAAATGGGCAGAATCTATTTTCAGATTTCTATTACCGTCCAATTATTTTTCTAATCCTTTTTCACCCCCTTAACTATAATGAACAAATTACAAATTTTACCACACTTATATAACATCTATGTGAAGGTAATCATGATTTAAAGTTGTGACAAATGAAGTGTTTTCAGCCTCAAAAACCGTCCCCTTTTCACCACACCAAATCAGGCAGTTTTCTTTTCTTGTGACTGTTTTCGGTTTCCATTTTACTAGCATGTCACCAATTAGATTTCAAGATGTTAGAAGACCATTTATATTCTTGTAACTCTCATATAAAAACATTCATTTACATAGATACAAGTTATATCTTAAGTATTATCCAAAATCAAAGTTTAAACCATTCAAATATAGTAAATCCTCATCTCTGTCCAGATTACTTTCTTTCAAATTCTTATAATTAATTACCTCTAGTTAGGCATCATAAAATCATTAACAACACTCCAACCTAATCACAAGAAAGTTCAGAAGTTCAAGAAATCATAAACCCCTTAAGAAATAATGGATACAAACCTCAAAACTATGAAGTAACAAAGCTGTCCAGAATTTTCAGCTTCTTGTTTTCTTATCCCTTTTTGCTTCCTTTGCTTTCACCACTTGGGGTCAGTTGGGGCTGTCTTTGCAGAGTCATGTCTCTTATTTAGGATCTATTTAAGAAGTCTTAAGGATTGGGGTCATGAGTGATACTTAAAGGTGAAGGAATTTGTGATTACAAGACAAGTATTCCCCAAGCATGAGGTGTCCAAGCAGGATGTGGCTCCTTGCAGCCAAATCTGACTTTTCTCCTATCTTATATGGAGTCATTTGTCACTTAGGAGATGCACATCTATCCCATATAAAGTTCTAAGGATTTAGAAGACGTGCTGGATGCCTTATGGTTGAAGCAATTATACATTAAAGTGATAAGTCTCCTAGCATCAGCTGTCTAAGTAGGAGGTGGCTTCTTGCAGCCAACTTTGACTTCTCCCTTGCACCATATGGAGCCATATGTGACTTAGAAGAGTTATATATATCTTTTGTAAAGTGCTAAGGACTTATAAGATGTGTTGGAGGCTTAAGGTTGAAGGAATTAGAGTTTAAAGTGACTAGTCGTCACATGTTAAGTATGTGTTGTCTCCTTTGATTAAATTCTGATTTCTTACTTATCATTGGGGGGTTTTTTTTTATTTTTTAATGAAATTTAGGGATAATATATCACATATAAGAAGTCTTAAAGGAGTGATAGACGTGAATAATGTTTAAGAGTGAATGAATTGACCATTACAAAGACAAATGAATAGGGATGACGTGTACTACGTATCAAGGTGTTCCTTATAGCAAAATCCGATTTTTACATCTATCCTTGCAAGTATAAATCAAGTGTTGTTGGCTTATTTTAATGTCTTAAAAATCCGTTTTACTTGCCCTAATATCCCAAAACATATTATAGAGCCAATTCCTTAACTATTCATTTGATTACTTACCCGATTCTCAACTGATTTCAACAATTCGTATCTTCATATTTATAACATCATATAAAACATATATTATTACTTCGTGATTATGTCACTTCATGTCTTATGTCCCAAATATGGTAATTACCTTTCTAGTGTTTAAAGTGACCTCGATCAGCTGAATGGAAAGCTTAAACCTTCGTCAATACAAATTTTCAGCCTTTCCGATATTGCATTACTTACCAATCTAATCTTCAACATTTAGTTAACCTAATTTTTTATCATAGCTCAATACAAAATTCACCACCTAGGTCAAGGAGTCGAAGTTTATCACCATGTAAAAATTATAAAGCCTTAACAATCGAAGATACCGTTTTAAGAGAAAGCAATTAGAAAATTGATGCTAATGACAATGTAATTAGCATGAAATGCATGAATCATATTGACCATATGTATAACGTGAAGCTCGAGGTATTACAAGATGTACTCATAAGTCGAATCATATTGGCAAAAGGATTATAGTTTCATCGTAAATAAACAAATTTGGTTTTGTCATACCACATGACATTTTTCGTCACATGTATTGTCTTGACACATTGCTAGATGTCAATTTAGGATGACAAATATAAATTGGTAATAAATTACAAAATGGATATTTTAATTTATCAATTTTGATTAGATTAAAATAATAATTCACATTATTTGGTCTCGTGATAAAAAAATCTAATAGGTCACATACAAAATGAAAACTAGAAAAATGAGATTTATCAGTTAATTAATTGAAAAATGTTGGCTAATTAATTAATTGGGTTGCTCGTTATAGATAATTAATTCATGGACCAAATTCAATTAATTGGATTAATTAAATATTGCACCGGGTTAAGTTTAAGGGATGGGTCAAGCTCCATTTCGACTTATATGAATAAGTTGCTAGGGTTTGAAAATTCATAAGAGATTCGTATTCTTGTTGCCTATGTGGATTTTTATTTGAAGTTATATAATTGGACAACTGTGAATTGCAGATCGTGATTGTTCATGTTCTAAGATCAGCAAATGAGCTTGCAGATTTTGTCAAAGGCATTGTTCAAAACACAAAGCAAATCCATGGTGAGAATTGAAGAATAATTTTTTTCGCTATGCATGACCCAAAAAAATAAAATTTATAATTCAGCAATTTGTTCTCCCAACTGGTTGGCAAGTACATTTTGGATTACAATTTTCGAACTTTTAAGAATGTTCTCATATCATTTTGAAGTACTAACATTGTACTTTAAAATATACATTTCAATTCGCAAAATCACTAGACGATGAGGTAACAATAACAAATAAAATTGGTTACACGAAATGAATTTAATAAATCTAATATGTAACCATCACAACTTTTAACTTATTTTCTGACTATATTTTACAATCGTCAGGATAATTCTTTAGAATGTTCTCAAAAATTTATGACCACCTATGCAATTCATAAACCAAAATAAGAAATCGTTAAACATTTGAATTAAAATAGTTAGTCAAAGATGGTTGCTAAAATAATTTAATAATTTAATTTTGTTCTCTTGAACACCGATGTCAACTTAGATAAATTTTTATTCGACATCAATCAACACTAGTCGGATTTGAATATCCGTGTCCCATTAGTCGAAGTGCAGAAAATTTTAATTTCAAGAGAAGAATGTTAAATGTGTTGGATTCTCGTGAATTACATACATAATTAAATGTTTGCTATGGCCGCATTGTGATTAATTAATTTTTTTGAATATACAAAGAGACTTATTAAGTTATATTATTCTAGAATATAATAAATCTATTCACGTGTGGAATAAGGTCTATTAATTTACGAGATGCTGCTAATGTTATGGTGGCGCCTGATGCTACTAATGATGCTGGTGCGATGGTTGGTTTTGATGATGGTGGTGGTGCTAGAGATGGTAGTGGTGGATCCGGCGATGGCGGTGAGCTGTTGGTTTTAGTTTTGGTTGTTGAAGTGGTTGTGGTGGTTTCCATATTTTAATGTTGTTGGGGTTCGAGTGGTTTTTGTTGGTGGTGCTAGTGGAGGTACTAGTGTTGGTGGTGGATTTGGCAACGACGGTGACAGTGAGGTTGGTGGTGGCAGGGACTATGTCGGAGTTCTGTAATTCATAACAATTAGAGGCAACGTTGATAGAGTGAAGCTAGTGACCTTGGTGATGGGGGGAGGTTCTTTGGTTGGCTGCTGGTGCTGTTGGTGTGGTGGTGGGTTGGTGATAGTGGTACTCTAGGTGGTTAGTACAGGTAGTGGTGGATCTAGCACTGGCTATGAGGTATTGGCTTTGGTTTTGTTTGTTGGAGTGGTGGTGGTAGTTTCCATATTTTGGTGGTATTAAGGGTTTGGGTGGTTTTTATTGGTGGTGCAACTACTGGTGATGGTGGTAGATTTGATGGTGGCTGTGGCGATCATGATCGTGGCAGTGGTGTGGTGGTTGTAGGTGGGATGGCGTAGGGTGGGGATGTTTTATGATCAATTATTTGGCTGATTGTGACCAATAATTTGAGATTGTTACCAATAAATTGAATATTCCGTTGTCAATAACTAATATGCAATCGATAATTTATAACCAATAGATAATGTGACCTAAAAACTTGAGTTGTGACTTATAAAATTTGTTATGTGTGACCGATAAATAAATAGTGACCTGTAAATTTGAGATTTGTAACAATGCTACCAAAAGTGGTACCTCGCGGATCCCCAGGATGATGACTGAAGATGACACGAACAAAGCCTTCCAAATACCTGAAACAAAGGTAACGAGGTGTGTGCTCGTCGTCCCTCCAATGCTTAAGTCAGAAAAGGGATGCAAAGAAGAATATATGCTGGAAATTGTGTATGTAGAACGTACCTGAATAATGGACCTGGGTCCTGTATTTATAGCGGTAGGTAGTGCACTCCTAGTAGGATTGAATAAGTTGGATGTTCTTATCTAATAGAGTCTTGCCTGAGAGAAGTATACTATTTATAATATAATTGCATGACCAATGATACAATTGTTGACATAGAGTTCTTGTGGGCGTAGGAGTCCTGGGTAGAGATGTTTGAATCACATTGAAATCCTCAGAAGGTAAGACTTATTACGGGCTCGGGTGAAAAGTTTGGCTGGAAGGACAGTGCTTGAGTACTTAACCTCGAGGACTTATGGGCTTAGGAGATAGAGTAGAGTCTTCGGGATAAACACCTCGAAGACCATATAAACCCCAGGGACTATACCGCAAAATGAAATTATAAAATTCAAAATGTCCTCGAAACAATAGTCGTCGAGACATGTCAGTCCTTGAGTATCCAACTTGGCAATATCACTGGACCTCGCGCACTCCTTCGTAGAGCTAGCACTCAATGGAGGGGTGCGCTTGGATGTGTGCCACGTGTCGTATCTTGAATGGCTCAAGATAGCGACTTTGGCCTTCCGTATTCCCTCCCTATAAATACCCTCATTTACCTTTCATTTTTTACTTTTACTCACTGTGAAAAACCACTCTACAAACTCGTGCTCGAGGAAAGTAATCCTAATCTAGGCATCAAGAATTCTTTAGGTAAGGCTCGAGACTTCAGTTATTTTTCTAGTACTATTTAAGCAATGTCGGGTAGTGAGGGTAGTGATCGTTCTGAAAGCTAGGGGGGTAATGAGGGCTCAGGAAAGGTGTTAATACCATTAGCTATTCCTATCGACGCCAAACCTAGGTCCTCGGGTGATGTCGTTTTGGAGTACCTTGACCAGGTCAGTACCTTGAAGGAACACCTTGCAATAGCTGCGGCTAGGGAACATGGGTTAATGCCTAACTATGACATTAGATGTCCAAACCTCGAGGATAGGATGGTAAGGGCTCGACAAGGGGAGTTTGTTATTTTTAGGGAGACACTTAAGGCTGGGTTCAGGTGGCCATTACATCCTTTCTTTACTGCATTACTGGTCGAGCACTCTATGTGCCCTGGGCAATTAGTGCCCAACGCCTGGAGAATGGTAGTATAATTTTTTATTGCTTGTAGGTATTTAGGCATCGTCCCTTGTGTTGACCTTTGCAAGTTAGTCTTCGAGCTCAAGAAGTACCCTAGATATACATGCTTTGGGTACCTCTTGGCCATAGGAGGGTTCAGGGTCCCGAGGATGTCTAGTTCTTTGAAGGGGTGGCGGGCGGGTTGGTTCTATGTTATAGCTCGAGACCTTGACTTTCCTTTCTGGCCTGAGTGGGGAATCCCCGATGCCGAGAAGTTTTGTGAGGGTGAAGTGTATCCAGACCATTTGGAGCGAGATAGGAGGATGCTGGTGAAGCTGTGCCCTCTGTTCTCGAGCATGAAAGAGATCAGGGAAGAGGTGATAGATCTGGCAGATGTTAGAGGCATCGAGGGTAGGGTTTACCTCTACCATCCATGTTCTTTTGGAATATCTCGAGCTTATGCTCGTTCTAATGTGTTGTTCTTTCCTTTCAGGAATGTCTTTTGATCCTCGAGCATTGCGTAACTTCGTAAATTCTAGGGCCGGTGCCCAGCCTCAGGGCCAGCCCCAGACGAAGAAGAAAAGCAAGAAGAGGCCTCGAGGCCCCCAATCTGACCACATGGAAAGGGGTCCTAGTGAAACATCACGACCTCAACCAGAGCTACCGAGCCCGACGTTCCAGCAAAGCCAGAGGTCTCCAACTCCCAGGGTCACTCCTCGAGCTCCCTTTGAAGTCGTCGATCTTGAGGACGACACCACTCCTACGGTGGCTTCGATTACTGAGGAGTTTGAAAAGTGCCCCCTGGTCCCGAGCTTGGTCACAAAATATCGGGAGGATGTTGAGCTTGATGAGGACGTCAAGGACCTCGAGCTCCTTATAATGAAGGTTATCCTCGATATTTTTACTTTGAATTCTTTTGTTTACTGTGCAAGATGTGATGCTCGAGGTTTATTGCTTGCAAGTTTTGAGTGTTGCTCGAGGAGTCACCCAAAGAGGTCTTGGAGAGTCCAAGAGAATTGTTGATATTACGGAGTCCCCGAGAAGTAAAGACATGAGGATTGCTGAGCTCGAGGCTGAGCACGAGGCTTGGCTGAAGGAGTACGAGGATGTCCATAAGGAAAACAGGAAATTGAGGGACGAGGCTGGGGCTACGAAGGATGAGGCCAAGGAAGCTAAACTCGAACTGATGCGAAAGACCAAAAAGTTCGAGAACAAGATAGCGAAAGTCAAGGAGCGAGCTTGGGAAGAATTTAAGACGTCAGAGGACTGCGACAGAATCAAGGACGAGTACGGCTCGGGTGCCTACCTCCATGCTTTTAAGGAGGCTCGAGCTTTTCTTCGTCCAAGGTTGCCTGACGTTATCCCTGAGGCCTGAAGATAGTGCCCTCCACTACTGATACTCTCGAGCTCTTAGAGTCTGATGATGGGGGACCGAATGAGGAAGATGATAGCATGGAGGGAGGAGAGGTTGAGGATGCAGATGATGAGATCGATATTACAAACCTCGATCCCCCATTGGGGCATATAGGCTAGGCAAATCCCACCCCTATCCTCGCGCTCTGTTTTTACTTTTTGTAACACATTTTGGAAATGTAATCAAGTGTTTTTCTTGAGGTTATGATTGTACTAGCTTTTGTCCTGTGTTAAATTTTTATTGTAAATGATAGCTCGATCTTGATCACAATTCTCGAGGACCTATATACCTCGATCACTTGTTTTAACATTTATGTTGTTTGTGTATATGGTCTTTTTTTTTACGGCTCGAGGGATGTCATCTCGAGGAATGTTAGAGTTTAACCAAAAGATGATTTGATGATCTCGATGATGAGTGATTTACACTCATTATATTATGCCATTAATTTCATGATTTTGCTATCTTGGAGAGTATTTTAGAAGTGCTAACAAGTGATTTTGGTGTTGTTTTGTAGATTGATGGAAGTGGAGAAAACAAGAGCTAAAAGAGGCCAAAGGAAGGAAATAGGCAAAAGTTAGCGAAATTGGATGAAATGACCAAAATGTAAGAGATCCAAAGTTCGAGGATTAAAATGAAATTAATCAAAAGTCGTGTCGAAACTCACGATGAAGATCCGAGAGTGCTAGGATTCAATTGGATGAAGGAAGGTGTCCAAGGGATCAAATTTAGTCAAAATATGATCACAAATCATTTTCCAACCGAAAAGTTACGCGCCGAAGTTTTGGTCTCACATTGAGACCTATTTCTGACATCGTAAACGATCGAATTGGGAAATGATGTTAGAAGAAAAGTTATAGCCCTTTGAGTTACTTTCCAACGCATCTTGAATCATCTCAACCGGACATCGGATAAAGAAGTTATGCTAAAAATACTGAAGGAGGCAAAAACTGCCTTTTCCACCCGAAGTGGGCGCCGTGGCGCCCAAGATGCTGAAAACAACAGTGAACGTGGCGCCGTGGTGCCCATCTCGCCTGTGCGGAAAAACGGGATTTTATATTTTTGGAATCTTTTTTTGGCCCAACTCAATCCTAATTCGTCCAATAACCCCAACATACTATAAATACTCTTTAAAAACCCTATTTTCATGAGGGATGGAAGGGGGCAAGATGGAAGAATTCAACCACACAATTTGAAGGAGGCAAACATCAAAAGGAAGGAGGAACAATATCAAGGAAGAAGATTGAAGATCTACCCAAAAGACTAGTTTTTTCTATCATTTTCCTTATATTGTTTATTATAATTTGTATGATTTTCATTTATTACATCATGAATTAAACAATTTATCTAAGGGATTGATGTAGCCGAATCAAGATTATGGTTTGATGATTTTATAATTATTTCTTTGATTTTCCCGCTTATATTTAATTGTATCATGATTTTAACGCTTTCAATTGCCTGATCAACTATTGGATGATTTGATGCTTATCAATTCCGACGCTCGAGAGAATGGGAATTTAGGCGTGATCATAAGAATAATACAGCATAGAATTTATATGTTTTGAGAGAAAGTATAAATCTGTGAAGCTTACTCCATAAAAGAATCGGATCTTTATTAAATTATTGATTTTCAATTTTGAACAGAGATGTTAGAATTGGGATCTAGGGTTAATTTCTAATCGGTGCTTGAGAGAGGGGGTTAGAAATACATTAGGATTCTTGCTTTTAAATATGGGAAAATTAATTGGAATAATTTGAATTCATTGAATCATAATTGAAAGTTAGGTGAAATCAATCCCTAAGCCTTCTCATTTGATAAATTTGCATTCTCCAATTTTGTCGCATCCAATTCACGTTAGATTTAGTTTATATCATTCACTCATAAAACATTAAATCCATTCAATCATACATTTGTCTAAATAAAATAGAAATTTCACAATTGTAGTACTCAGTGAAATTTAAATTACAATCCATGTAGGTTCGACACTCTTTACTCTATTACTATATTACAAAACTTGACACCGTACACTTGAGGTATAAAATCACATTGCATAAATCGCGTGGCAAGTTTTTGGCGCTGTTGCCGGGGTTTTTTAATTTGA